AACCGTGGAACGCCAAGCCATACCCGCAAGCAATCCTACTGATTCTGAGACACGGTGGAAAAAATAGGGGCGAGCACGATCCAGATTTATGCGTATCGCGCGTTCCTTTTTTTAAATTTCCCTGGATGTTTCTCGTTTTCACGATGCCTTTACGTCGCAACGGCGTGCTTGGAACTCTGATCGAAGACGGAAATACGTCGATGCGTACGCTGGGAAAGATCCAAGTTACAAATAGCAGCACTTGGCCATTGAATCAGTTTTCAACATTGTACGAGATTTTAGTAAAATTGAAGGGACTGAACGAAACTTAATCGACCTCGCTATATTCTATATACGCTATTCAAAGGTTTAAAGCATGCCAAAAATTTCAAATGAAATAATAAATTCCACGAGTAATACCAAAATTTTAATCAATTATATTTCTCACAAAAATGTACAAAAAGAAGTTTGTCCGAACGATCGTTCGTTTTTAATTCCGTTATCGTGCAACTTTCGTTGCGAAATAGCGAGTTTCGAGACGATACTGTCAAAAGAATACAGTATCGTTTCCTGAAAGCGGTCGACGCACGTTGAATCGATTCTGCATGACAAATTCCACCGAACGACTGTCTATTCATTTGCTGGAACATTGAGCAACGAGAATTATTTGCGTGGCGAACGATGTATTTTTAACGTGGCCGACCAAATCAAGATTTATGATGATTGATCACGTTCCTTTATGATCAGATCTCAGCTACAACCGCCGCGTACGTACGAAACGGACGGAAAAATCGGTGAAACGAAAAAAAAAAAAAACCCATATCGGACAATATTCGTGGAACGACATTAATTATATAGCGTATGAAACAACTATTGGCAGGCCCCCGTACGATCGTTGTATTCGGACTTTCACTTCATGAGCCACTTAAAAGATATCCTCCTTCTCTGTCTATTTCGTTGCTGGCCTCTGTTAAACGCGTATAAGCAACCGTGGACAAAGCTGAAGACAAGTTACTCGTTTCATATTCTTTCCGGAGACTGAAACACGCTGCGACACGCCGACCGTTCGTTCGTTCGTTCGTTCGTTCGTTCAAGATCGCAACGTCGAATTACATTGTGTTATGAACGATTTACGAGAGAAGGAACACGCGACTTTCACTCGAAAGCTTTCGTTTCGCGATGAGCCACACCGGCTGCGGTGCAACGAATGCCCGAATGCGCGCTCCAGTAATCGCGGATCGTTTTCAGCGCTTGTAATTTTTCCGCGCGAGGTCATCTCGACAATGCTCGTCCAAGGGTGAAATTTACGTGGACCGATTATTTTGTAAAAATCCGATTTGTTATCCTACGAACGAATCGAACGGATAAATGCAATAAATTTTCATTTTATTTTTTTTTAGCGTTGCTAGCTCGTTTCTTCATATATTATTCTCCATAGTCACGAGATTGATGTTATGCATTTTATCGTGAAATAATTTTCTTTGGAAATACCTATCAATTTTTTTTTTTTTTTTAGTTAGAAATTACATTCGCATCGTAGTAAGTTATGTTGTCTGATTCTACTATTCAGAACATGCTTTAACAATAGTGAGCCAATTTTTGGCCAAAAAGTATCGAATTTAGCAGCTACAGACTTTTATCTGTTTTTCCGAACTCAAATTGTCTCGTGAAAGGAAGTCAATTTTAGTAAATTTCTGAAATTCAAAAGACTGTAACACAATGTTTAAAGACGATTTTGCCAAACATTTAGAATACTTAAAGATTTGTATCTATTACTATGATTAGGGGAGATTACGTAGAAAACCATATAAATAAAATTTGTTCACGCATAAAATTTACGATAATATCGTAAAATCAATTTCCGGATAAGTATTTCTTAGACCAATTTACTGGAGTAATTCGAAAATCTGTCTCCGGTATTCGATTAGTATAATTCTCTATAAACGACTATCGCAATCAAGGAACGGAAATGCGCTGTGGAAAATGAACGAATACCGCTGTGAATAACAGTTATCACCGATCATGACCAAATGAGAGAATAATAACAACACGTACGAAACCCTGCTTTAACATCACCAAGCTCATTTCCTATGTAGTTTATAGGCACGTTTCAATTAACCTGTTATCTTTACACTTCGGATGCAAAAATATCTGGTGTACGTATATACTTTAGGGAAAGAGCAACGTGATAGAGGAAACTGATATGAAGATGATCCATACAGATAGGCATACAAAAAGACGCAGTTGCAAAAAGAAGAAAAATGAATAACTATCTTATCAAATCGATTTTCTCTCACCGTGTTAATCTATATTACAAATCTCAGGTTAATCAAAGTGATCGATCAACTTTCGTTTTCTTTATCAACTTCACACCACTGGTTTCGAGATCGAAAAGCAGTATTCAGATATTTACAAGAAATATTGAAAGGCACTATACTTCGCTAGCAGTTATCACATCGTCAACTTTCTAAATCATCGCAACGTAAGTATCTGAATTATAATTGGTGAATTTCACTTTGCGTACACGCATTTCAAGAATATGGGAAAGTTGTAAAAGATATAAGATCAATTTATTCGTTTCAAGACTATGGCTTTCATTTATGAAACAAATTGCGCAATCGAAATCCTATATTTATTTTACATTATACTATTGTATTTGTGACTTTGAGAATTATTTTCTTGGAATTTAATGAAATATTAACGCATAATGAGACGGAATATTAAACATGGGTTTATGGAGTTTTGGAAAGTAAAGTTATGTTCAAAAGAAAACTCAGATACGTGTCAAGTAAAAAAAACGATTCGATGAAATTTTATTAACGAATAGAAATATCGATTTTCATTAGAGACTTTGCGGGGAATCACGGGGAATTACAAAATATATACCTGAGTCGTAGTAGGAATGTAAAATTACAAAGAATTTGGATTTACGAGAGTCCCTTGTAGAAGAAATCAGCTGACGACCGAATCGTGAGGAAAAGAAAGGATCGCTTTGACAGTATCCCGTAAGATTCTCCGAATAATTTCACATAGACGAATCAATTTATGAAGCTTCGTGGTTCGTTGATTAAGACAGATTATACGAACCATGTTCATCAATCCTTGACTGGTTAGCTGATTAAATTCTTAATAATTACGCCGTTCGTTTGCTGTAATCTTGAGAGATTTCTGATAATCTAACGAATGTTAATATACGATTGATGAATTACGCGTAAGTTACGAGTAAACTGTACCATCGATGTAGCATGTATTCCTTTTTCACGCGAAATTATTTACTGTTAGGCGTTTTTCATTTTATAGTAATCAAAATTACAGTAAATTAATGCTCACCGATAATGTTTCTGAAATATGTAACGTTAACGATAAGAAGCTTAGCTATCGATAACCCGGTCAAAGTGACTCATTGTTAGTACATTTTACGCAGAACAAGTAAAACGTGATTAGTAAATGTATTCACATGACATTTTCATTTCTTGCTCCAGATATTTCATAAATAATTCATTGTGCTTCATAATTAAGAATTTATTTGATTTTCCACAATTTAATTCAGCAATTACTTTTAAAAGAAAATAACGATTTTTATTAGAGCATGAAAATTACAATTTTTATTGGAGCATATTGAGAAATATGGAAATGCATTTAGGAACAATGTAATGCTCAAGCAATTAAATTATTCTAATTGATACTCAATGGCGCCAGACAAAGAGTTCTAAATTTATCCTCTTATGATATCAACACATGCATAGGATTTGTATTTGTTGAGATGTAGGATTAGTCACAACGATGAGATCAGTATAGATTCTCAAGGAAAAATCTTATTGAGACCTTAAAAAGCATGACAAATTTGGTATTTCTCTATCTTTGGTATTTTTTTTTTTTTTTATCTTAGGAACTCATTGACATTCGCAATAGCGATAAAAAAGTTAATGAAACGTTTCATTCCAATTACTAAAAGTTATTATGATTGTAGAAACAAAGTAAAATTTATTCATTCACGTTTAAAAAAAATCTAGGACAAATTTTAATATACGCTAACATCGTTACACAATTTACCGTAACTTTACCATTCATCGACAACAGTTATTTATGCAATTCTAGCGAGTCATTCAGTGTAAAAGAAATGCAAGGCACAAATGATTGTTTGTCATAGTGAATAATTGTTTATCATGCACCTTACAGAAATCTGGAAATTTATTTCTGAATAAAAGACGACGAGGAAGAAGCAAGTAAGAATGGGAAATGTGTTGAAAAAACTTCCTGAAAATCAGCTGTAAAAACACCCTGGCCATTAACTTAGTATCTCCGAAATACAGTATCTATAGTAATATGCAGTTCACATCGTTAAAGTGGCGTCTTCGAAGCGTCGTAAAGCGTTCTCGTTAATTATGGATAATATGATTATGCGATTCTTCCCATGGTTTCCCTTTTGTGAGACCCGGCTCCAACACATCAGCAACCGGGAACTCTGCAGTGATTCACATAACAGAACAGAAGAAGCGCGCGAACAAAATTCCAATAGTTGAAATTTTAACACGAAACAACAATGTAATTCGAGTGCTAATCTAATTGGTATGTGTCGATAAAGCAATGAATACTTCCATATACCGATAATTAAAACACACTCTAAACGATGTAATTACCGGCAATTGCTCGTTTTAAATACATAAACAATACGGCATGGATATTCAAGTGATTAAAGAATAAAATTAGTTTCCGATACATTTTATCATAGACAAAAGAAATCTTATTTAACTTGTATCGAGTCGTGCAAAGCTTGAGTAGACGATACGTAAAATATTTGAACAACTGTCCTAAGTAAAACATTTGTTATCTTGTTATCATCAATAAAATCATGAAACGCAATCTCTATGGAAGAAGAATGAGCAATACTTTCACAAATCTATCAAATTCTAATTAAAATATGTAATAAACGAAAGAAAGATCACTTCTCTACGTTGTTCTATTGGAGCTCATTGTTTTATTAAAATTTACTCTGTGATAAGATAATTCTTTCAACGTACCTGATACCTGTCCTCGTAAGAAATCGCTGCGTTCAACAGTGGTCCCGCTGAATCATCGTCAGTTTTGTTCGTAACTTGTAAGAATGTATCCTCTCGATGGTATGTGCTTGCGTTCCCTCGAAGAATGCACAATTAAGGGAGAAATTTTACGATATACGATTGAAGATCTGACGGAGCCACTGTCGGATCGCGGTGAATATGATCGAGTAACGTCTGTTTAGACCGACCGAGCGGGTCCGGGCAACTGAACGTGCCTCTCGTTGCGCCTTCACCGACAGCCTCGATTCCTACCTTCTCTTTCTCTTTTTCTCTCTCCCCATCGTCGAGTATCTCCCTTTCTCTTTGTACAAATTGAAATTATATAGTGACAATTTGTTGTCACTTATAATCTTTTAACAATAACCGGTTAAATCAATTTATATATATATGTTACAAAACAGTTTGTTTAATATATATAATATTGAGTTTTGAAACGCTTTTGTGACTTCTATCATTAATCATGTATTTGTACGTTTAAGATTTTATATGATGGTTTTTCTTCATAAATACATTATAAATATCAAATACATTAATATCAGCGAATTTCATTCATTCTAAATTTAAGTCAACATTTAAATAAGCTTTCATTCAGTCCATTACATTATTTTATCAAATGATTAATATCCGTTAAATGTATTTTGTTAATTAATCCCGCTTAATGAATTTTATCCAATTTAAAAAACTTCCTGCTTGAATCATATTCTCTTAACTCTTATACTTTCTTAATATTCGTTTGAATTATTCAGTTTTTAGATTATAAGATTTTTTCAGATGTAAAAAAAAATTTACTGAATGCTTTCTTATCATAGACATGAAAATTTGGCTCCAATTAGCTATAATATATATTTTCTAAAAAGTTCAAGACTATCTTCATATTCGTTATTTTTTCTTCTATTTGTTATAATACGAATTAAAGTTATGCAGCGACGCCGTATGAAAGCATGAAGTTGGCATTGAACAGAAAAGAAGAATTATTCTTATCCAAGTTGCATGGAGGAAGACGTGTAAGAAAAGATTGGTAACATTTAAATGTTTAACTTACTTCAACAAGTGCGCAGTTGAATTCTTGTGAAAAATCATTAATAAAAGCTATCAAAAGTTATAATTATTAAATTAATAAAAAGCAACCTACGAATTATAATTACTAAAATTCGGAATCACGAAGTAAGTAATGACTTTTCTTCTTTTCTTAAAATTATTTTAAAATGAACACATTATTATTTCTCATATTAAAAATAAATTAATAACACCGTATAAATATAGATTTTAGTTCTCCAAAACGTGAATATATAGGTATCTTTGATATAAAGTAAGTATATGTATATATTTTAACAAATATATTAATGTTATATTGATACTTGTTCGTACCCGCTTCGTGCAAATGTGGCCAACGACATTGAACAGTTGACATTGAGTGCCGGGAAATGGTCATTAAGCTCAATATCGTTGTAAGTACACTATGATCGACTCCGTAGTGTCACTAACCCATAAAACAGTGATAACTCTCACCTCGCTTGAATACAAAACGATTCACCAACGCGATAGGTAGCCCAACATGCAGGTATGTTAAAGTTACGGGTTGAATGTAAATGATACAAAGCAGATGCGAAGTAATGTCACAAATAGTAAGCAATGAAAATAATCATGAATTTCTTATAATTTATTTATATCCTATACTGTAATTTACAGCCATATCAGTTTGAATATCTTTTTAATTCATTTATCAATCACAATATATTCTTATTTCTGAATTTATCTCAGGATAAGTTGTAAACATTTGTAATGTTTGTATAAAGTTCATGCATTATCGAGTAATGCAGATATACGACGTACGCAAGAGAGTGCGTGTCATTTTACTAGTACTTTCGAGAGTTTAACTGTAAAAGTTAATGTTTCGTTGTGAAACGACAAAGGAGACCTCCCTTGCGGGCTGTAATTTTCGTTTCGCTCCATTGTTCAGCAGCAATAAAAATTGATCGTTATAGTGTGCCGTGTTACTGGTACGTAAGTTCACGGGACCAGATTGCGACAAGCATTTTTCTTTTATTGTTCTGGCTGTGTATAAGTGGTTTTGCATTCATCGAAAAGAGGCAGCGATAATGCATGCTAAAATATATGATACACCCTTTGGTCTTTTAACGTTCATACTATATCCACGTTGTTATCAGACAACAGCAGTTATCAACTGCATCGGATGACTGTGACATCGTTTTCCCCATGTACCGCGGTTAAAAAAAAAAAAAACACGCATCTGATAAAATGGTGATATACTACGTTAGTTCAGTTATTCTCTGTTAGATCTGCCACGAATGGTACTTTATGTTGTTGTTGGATTATAATTTATAATGTGGAAAAGGTCCTCATTCAGGTATTAGTATTTTACATCACTGTGAATTCTTTGCGAGGACAATTAAGAGTTATGGACGCAAATATTGCGATCTGATAAAATAGAACTACGGTTGCCACATTGAATGTAACATAAAAGATACGCGTCTTATCCGGGTTACGTTATTCCGTTATTTGACGAATGTTTAAAATTCGTTTCGTTGTGCTCTTTATAGTGTATAGAAAAAGTTCGCTTACCAGGGAACTTATTGTTGGTGAAGTTATTATCAGAAGTGGAACGACTTTTGAACGCTCTGCAGCATGTAGTCGCATTTCTAACATCTGTAGGGTTAAATAATCCTTTGTGAATGTTACGGTAATTGACCTATGATTAAGTTAACCTATTTTAGTATTATTGTCTTCTTTTCATAAAAGGAATGACGCAAACAAGAAAAATAGATAATAGTACTTACAATTTATTTTATTTTTGAATCGAATGAAGTCCAATTAACAGAGATCTTTTAATTTAACATTTTCCTGAGAAAAGAAACATATATTTAATTATTAATCACTCATACGTGTACAAATACCATTTACTAATTAATATTGATATTGTATGTATACGATTGATAAATACTCTGAAAATAAACTCACTGAAGATGACTAGAATTTGTTTCAAATTATGCGAATTCAATAATACATTGAATACAATGATAAAATTTGAGAAAAAGCAATTAATTTTAATTGTTAAAATTCATTTAAAGAAGCAGCTAAAACAAACGAATTCTTGCGCGCGAAACGAGCAAGGTTCATGGTAAGATATGTACGTACACATAGTTATAGGTTTTTGAACAGGTTTTGCTAGAAGTTTTACGGAAAATTTGGCGCGACGATCGCAAGTAGAATTACCGACCGAGCGAGAATATCTCTCGCCAGATTGAGTGAACATTCTATATAATTGTAGTACGTGGTGCGCGATTCGCGTCCTAGGCTCTATAAATGTGAGGGCCTCGATTGAACTTCGATAGGTTTCTTTCTGAAAACATTAGCGCCGAGGTAAATGTATCGCCGAAACAACGAACTAGGTTCAGAACTATAGTGTTACGCACAACGTATACCGACTTGTTCTTAATTGTGTATAATACGAGGGTAATATAAAAAACAGATAATACTGTTGGAACAAAATAACGACGTTCGTAAGATTAGCCATCTTGGAAAGATATGTCATATTTGTTAAAACGTCAACAATATAGTGTGTATTGTTCAATACATGCCGCCAGCTTGTTTTAACTACGGTTGACTACACACCTAATCATCAGAAGTAAAAGCGACACGGTGGCGTATTTGACACGCGGACGTAATCGTAAAAGAAGCACAGCTTCATCGAATGATGAATCGCACTGACGGATTGGTACAACGACGACGTGTTGTTAACAGCAGTAGTAGTAGCAGTCTAGGCCAGGATGGTTCCAACGATATTGGCCATAATGATAAATTATCTGGTCATGGCACGGATACAGACTGTACCATGCAAAAAGATCTTAATTCAAATCCCAAGATCGACGATGATTCTGATAAGGAAACGAGATTGACACTCATGGAAGAAGTTTTGTTACTTGGTTTGAAAGACAAAGAGGTTTGTTGACATTATTGTCCTTAACCCTGTATATAGTTTTTTTACTATCTCACATAAAGTAAAATGTATTGTTTTAAAAATCAGTACCTGAGTTTTAAAATTATACCTTGTTACAGGGTTACACGTCATTTTGGAATGATTGCATAAGCTCAGGTTTACGTGGCTGTATTTTAGCAGAACTTGGGTTTCGTGGGCGAGTAGAATTAGAGAAAGCCGGTATGCGTAAAAAGGGATTACTGGTGAGAAAACTTCTATTGAAAAATGACGCTCCTACAGGAGATGTTTTGTTAGATGAAGCTCTGAAACATTTAAAAGAAACTGATCCACCTGAAACTGTTCCTAGTTGGATTGAATATCTTAGTGGTTAGTTGAATATGAAAACATATTTATTTGGTAATCAATTTCTTACGGCACAGTTCTTGGGATATTTAAAATATCTTGCCTCATTTAGGAGAAACATGGAACCCACTGAAATTAAGATATCAGTTAAAAAATGTTAGAGAAAGATTAGCCAAAAATCTTGTTGAAAAAGGAGTTTTGACAACCGAGAAACAGAATTTCTTACTCTTTGATATGACAACTCATCCTCTTACTGATAATCTTGCCAAAAGCCGTCTTGTAAAAAAGGTAAATTGCTATATTTTTTTAATTACCATTTTTAGTTTTTGAAAGTTATATAAGATACTATTTGAATCTTGTTGAAAAGATTCTTTAGATTGAAAACTTATATGTAGAAATTGTATTTTTTATATCTCTCAGATTCAAGAAGCTGTATTAAGCCGTTGGGTCAATGATGCTGGTCGTATGGATAGGCGAACATTAGCTTTAGTTATTTTAGCTCATGCAGCTGATGTATTAGAAAATGCGTTTGCGCCGCTCTCAGATGACGATTATGAAGTAGCTATGCGACGAGTACGAACATTATTGGACCTTGACTTTGAAGCAGAAGCTGCTAAACCTAATGCTAATCCAGTTCTATGGGCAGTATTTGCTGCATTCACTAAGTAACAGTCCTTTAAAAAATTACAAGTGTATAAAGCAAATACTGGGTACTAGTATAAATACTTGGGACTATCAATTTTACAGAAATTTTTGTTGCAATCTGAAATGGAATAGTTGCAAATATTGTTAATCATCATACAATTCAGACCAAATACCTTGAATCCGACTGTGTAAAGCAGACTAGAGTATTAGTCATTTCCATTATTGTTATTTAATACATTTGATAGCTGAATTATGAATGTTCATATTTAAATATTATGAGAAAAAGAATAACAAAATTTAAGGTATGAATGAGTACTTTGCGTGTGGGGTAGTGCCATGTCAGCTCAGGAACAAAAGATCGTACTGTGCTGAGTTTTGTCCCATATCTTCTCTGTGTCTATTGTGTCTGCACATGGACTGTGAATATGTTTATAGACACAATAATTATGTGGCCGGTATTCAATTGTCAAATCGTGTCACATTTCTGCTAGCGATCTAAATGTTAAGGCGACGAAAGTAATTCTTTGCACAGTTGTGACATTGACGACGAATTTTTACCGTTTCTTTACGTCTTCTTTATACAAAACTGGATTATAGTAGGTTTGTACTTCCCAAATCCGTTTTTGTTTTTAAACTAGTGTACACATATAGTTTCACTAGGTGGCAGTAAAGTACTCGGATGTCAAAAATATTACTTTATGAACGTCATTTCTATCCCACTTAAATATAACGCGGGAACAGTTTGAGAGTAACAAATGAATCGAATACGTCGAACTTAATACGTTTTTAATTAATAATTTTGTTAATTTATCGTATATACCATTGCTACCATTAACATTATATTATGTGATATGTAAGTAGAGAAAATATAAAGTGGGAAGTCTGTTATAATTAGTAAATCACTTTATGAGTACAAGAAAGACAAACCAAGATAAAAAATGGACACGGAAATTTTCAAGGATAACAATCGCTCTTTCATTAAAGTGGAGAAATGTAAGTAACATGTACTATATTTTACAAATTTTCAAGCGTGTATGGGATGATCAAGAAATATTTAATCTTTCTTTGAAATACTTGTATAGTCGCGTAAAGTAATTTCCTTTTTCGGCACTTATATATTTTGTAAGAGATGTTCTGAATAATCAAAATATAAAGAACAACTCATTTATTTAATCTTTTAATCTATTTTTTCGTGTATTATAGATATGTCTCTAAATTCGTAAATTTACGCAGCTGCTTAATAGTCGGTCTCAAATTTTTATTCATTGTGAATACCGAACAATTGTAATATGTTTAGTATGTAGTTTCTGGTGTAATGTAATGGCATTTCTGAGTATTTAGTTCACAAATTATGTTTGTGGAAATATATTAATCTTCGTAATAGAAGGTATATTGTTAGCTGATCATATTGATTTGAATATGTAAGTTTTGTATTATTACTTTTTATTTAAAATTATACATAACATTATATTTTAGCTTCATATTTTTTAAATACACATAAGAATCAATTTTAGTATTTACATCAGAAGAGAGTAAAACTGTTTTAAATATATATTTGTACTTTTTATTGCTTTAATGGTAGTTGAAAATTTTGTACTTATAGAGTTAGAGTTTTAGAAATAATTGATCTAATAGCATAGATGTCTTTAATTTAAAAGAGCATGTTATGTAATCTTGTTTGATTGATATTTCTTGGAACATCCTGTATGTATTCAATTGAATTTTTATATTCAATCATTAAAAATATTTTGATTGTTCATAATGTTGAGAACTCGAGGAGTTTCCTAAATAAGTTTATGTAACATAAAATTACTTTGTGTTTAAATAACATGTATTATAGAATAGTAAATTTATTTTTACCATATATATATATATATGGACACATAAATTTCAAAAATAATAAACAAGAGCTACAAAAAATAGATATTCTAAAATCTCTTAATATCGCTGCCTTAGTATCATAAAGTTACAAATATAGATTCCTTTGTTATGTTATTGCAATATTGGAATACTATTATACTGCATCCCAAATAAAAAATATTTACTGAAAGAGATTTAAGAAGTATGAGCTATTGTTAAATTTCTTGTAATACAACAAATAGTCAATAAATATCATAATTTTATACTTGCATATTATTAAAAAATTCGCTTAAAAAGATAATTAAGAAAGAGCTTGCTGGACAAGCTCATTTTATAAATATTAAACATTTATAACATTTATAACAATATCTATAAACTCAAAATTTCATTTATGAATATTATATATTGATGTGTAAATACAAATTCAAATATTTTTATAATTACTTTAATAATTTTAATAATTTATAATTACTAAGAGTTCTATTGCCACTTGGTAGAGTGTTCAAAAATTTCTTTAGGGTGTGGTGCTACATACAAATGTACATATCATTCACTAAACTTTTAGATCTAGATTTTAGATCTGATACTTTATAATTCTATGTTTATGTTTTGAATTTGATTTATTTGTACTTTCTTGTAAAACATAGATTTTTTTGTGAAATGTTTCAAATTTTTAAAGTATACTTCGTAGTATATTTCATATATTATACTCCCTCCGTCTTAAATTAGTTATCATATTTGGTATATAATAAAACAAATGTGACAACTAATTTAGCACGGAGGGAATATATAAAATTAAAATAATTCTTTAATTCTAAGAACACACATATTACAATTGATTCATGATTTTAATCATCAAATTATATATGATTCATAATATATCATATATTTATTTTAATTACTGATTTTATATTAGCTGCTATAATATAATATTATGATATATTGATTCTGTGAAAATTATTTCAATATCTTTGATCAATTATTTTTCTTCTTCATAAATACACTTATGTTATGAATAATATCCCTTTTCAATTTAGGAAATGCATTTCTAAATACATATTATATGATTGTAAAAATTATATATTTTTAGAATTGATACACATTACTCATTTTGTTATATACTTATTGAAAGACAAATTTTGGAGTAAATTAAATTTGGTAAATTTTCTATTTTAGTGTTCTTTTATCAAAATTGTTATTTTAAAATTATTATCGTAATTTTAATTTGGTTTTAATAAATAGTAAATAATAAATACCATTAACATGAATTTGCAATACAGATTAGTATATTAAAACATGCATTTGATGCATATTAATTGTGTACTATCATTAGAAAATAATATAATAATAATAAAATCATATGCACACAAAATGATAATATAATAATTTATTATTTAAGTACTTATAAAAGTACATATTATAGAAAAAAATATGATACATAATATAAATACACATTATAGGAGAAAATATGACGCATAATAAATATGAAAACTTATGATCATTGTTTATATAGATTTTGAGGAATTTTAATTTTGAATAAAAGACGTGATTAAATTTTTGCAATAAAATTTATAAAATTTTATGTTTTGTATTTACGTGTGTACAATATTTTATTTATAATTAGATGATTTGTTTTAGAGAAATAGTTCGTGGTATAAACATTTTAATTAAAAAACTATATTATAGTACAAAATGTATATATATGTATATAGAAATTCAAAAAGGCAATTACCGAAATATAACTATAAAATGGCTTTTGATAATTATTTTCATAGCTTAAATCACACATTTTATAATTTAAATAATCATATATAAAATAATTAATTACTATAACAATTAAATTGTATATGTAACACTTATAGGTATAAATTGATAAACTATACACATATATGTACAATCAATTATGTACATTGAATATACAGTAGTTGAAATGCAATAGAATTGTGAATAGTACACATTTAATACAAAATATATGCAACACATTGAAATTTGCTTATAATTCAATGTTTCTAATATCTGATGGTTCATAGAATTTTAACATATTTTACTAGAACATTGACAAGTTCCAGCTATTGTAGTTTGGATAAGTCCATATTCTCCTGTAAACATCCAATTTTCATCTTTTTTGAATAATTCTTCTGCTATACCAGGTACTAGACCAACACAAACATCAGATTTTACTGTTCTCAAACTTAAGATATGTGTAGGATAAAATCCTCTTAATGATTGTTTAAATTCTGTTGTGTATTCCCAATTTATATCACCCAATAATTTTCTATAGTTTAAATCACCTTTGAATATTGCTAATTTAGCTTCTGATAATTTTGCATATAATGTTGGGTCATGTTCTTTCATTTCTGCAAAGTCATAAGGACTTGTCCAATATAGTTCTTCCTAAATAACATATATAAAAAATATTGATAGTGTAATAATTATTTGAAATTGACAAAAAAAAAAAAAAAAAAGAAATAACTAAGATTACCTCAATAGTCCATACGTTATTTTTCAAGTAATTAGCTAATTCTTGTATACTTTCATTTGGTGAATTTTGCATGTATGTTAGAGTCCAGTTAAAATCATTTGTTGTTGTATCACTGACATACCATGGATAATGTTTTACATAAAACCTGATCTTTTCAGCAAGTTTAGTTGCAATTAAGAATGCAGCTAAGCATAAATCAGTAAAAAATTCATATCCTGCATTATCAAGTATTATATCTATGATATTTATATCATTACTGTCTTTCTTTTGTAGTAAATTCCAAACGAAATCTAAATTATTTACAAGAATATTTTTATCTAATGATTTTAACACTTCTATAGGATTACTACTCTGACTAACTTCTGCTCCTGCACTTAATGATAAATCACATCTATAAAAAAAAACATATTCTAGTAAATTTGGTGATAGAATAATACATGAGAAATAAGGTAATATAGTGAAAAAAATGAACATACTTGTTACCCCAAAGATTAGATTTAAGAAATTTAAAAAGTTCTTCTTTGGTTTCAACTATTGATAGATTTTCTACTTTATGTATGAGGTTCATAGTATAAGCAGAAAGTACTTCTACGCTACTTAATGAATTTATAAATGCGCTTTGTTTTTGCTGTTCGAAGGGATCATAATTTTTCATAAATTTCCTGTAAATTGTATAATATATTTATATTATATATTATCAACTATTAGTTCTTCCTAGTACTTACAACAGGGCAATTTCTTGTGCAAGTGCCCGATACATATAGCATTCACAATATAGCCAAGTAGTATTGAACCATGTTGGTGTTCCTCCCTCTATCTCGGTTCTTTTTATTAAATATTTATTCCATTCTTCAGCATCATTGTCTTTACTATCAGGTAGTAATCGTAGAGGTTTCAAAGTTTTATTTGTTCCTATTTCATTCTTTAATTTACTGATAAATCCCATTATTTGTTTAACTTCTTCTACTGCATTCTAAATAGTTTAAGAATTACATATGCTATATGCAAATTTTAATATTCTAATAAGTATATTTCTAAATATATATTTTACCTCTCCATATTTCTCAACAATATTTTCCTTGTTTCGACTCAGAGTATCAATTATTTTAGTTAAAATTACTGGTAATCTATCTTTAAGTGTAATATAGGCAAAACTCCTATAAGAAACATAAAATATGTTAAGTTTCAAAATATCTTTATTCTTAGGTTAAATAGAGGTAAAATATTTGATTTACTTTTTATAGATTCCTGATAATGGTACTCCAAAGGGTGTTTGTATATCTTGTAGATCCTGAATGTCTACGGAATTCGATCTTTGAGTCATGATTTCACTACAGAGTTGCTATTACTCCTAAACTGCAATAGATTACAAGCAGCTATAGATACAGTGTGGACTCTGAAATGAACGGATACTGACAATATCTTATATTCACTATATTTGTCTTATATAACAGAATAAAGATATCCCTATACTTCGTATTTCGATTTTTTAAATATTTTATTTGATTTTTTAATATTAATATCGTCTGATTTTTGGAATTCTATTATTAGACTGTGATCAACAGAAAATGAATGAAGCATTACTATATCATAAGCACGTGCATCGCGCGTGCGTATGTTCTTGGAACACTGTTCCATCATATAACTAATGTTATTATACAGCACAGAGCTATGCGAATGAAAACAAACTCAATATTGTTAAAGTGAAGACTTTATTATTTAAAATAAAATCAAGTTAATTGTTCTATAATTGTTTTTCACGAAATTATAACAGTTTAAAGTATTGACAATTTTCTATTTAGTATATAAATATTTTCGTTTTTTTTTAAAGAATTTTTCATGAATTTTGTGTATTTAATTTAAATTAAAATTTTTCATGTTTTATTTCAAGTTAATATTTTGAATTGCGCGCGCATTAGATTTAAATTAGTTAAAGATTACAGCGCCCCAACGGCAAAATACGTAATATACTTCCTACGATTCTCGAACGTAATCGATATTTCTTATGATCGATTTTTAAACGGGAAGCATGGCAGCAGGAAGCACACCTCATCTGTAGTTATCCAGAAAGATCACCCAGAAAAAAGTATCACTCAGAAGTTCTAAGGCAAAACTTTAAATCAATAGTTGTTAGATTTGTGTTTATATTATGAATTTTTATAATAAAACTGCATTTTGTTCTGCATTTTGGTTTCAACTCAAGGTAAAAGTTAACCAAATATTACATATAATTTTCAACATTTAAAGAAATAATGGAATATAAACATTTAAACAGAACATACTCTGCTAAAAGTTATTTATAATTTTATTATATATTTATAATTTTATGCCAAAATTTAATTTCAATTCTAACCATTACAAATATTGTGACGTTGCAATATGACTACTCTTTTATTATGTATGTACATAATATGCTTTTACTTCTACTGTAATATTTAAAGTATTGACATTTTTTTTTCATCAAGCGTGTGAATATTTTCGTTCTTTTTAAAGAATGTCTCATGAATTTTGTGTACTTGATTTAGGATAGAATTTTCTATTTTCTTTTCCAGTTAACGGTTAGTGCGAAACACGCGATTGCAGCGCCCCAACGGTGACATATGCAATATATACTTCCTATAATTCTCGAACGTAATCGATATTTCTCGATCTTTAAGCGGGAGGAATGGCGGAAGAAAGCACGCTTCGTCAAAGAACAGAGTTATACAGAAGAATCATGCAGAAAGAAGTTCTCAAGTAAATATATAAATCAATAGTTGTTAGATTTGTGTTGGTATTTTGAATTTTTAAAACGAAACGTGTATTTTTGGCACCAAATCAAAGTATTATTTAACCAAATAATTATTGCATATAATTTTCAACAATTAAAGAAATAATCGCATATAAATGTATAAACAGAACATACTAGTTGAAAGATATTTATAATTTTATGCCAAAATTTAATTCACCAGTACAAATATTGCAACCTTGCAATTAACTAACCTATTGTTAATAACAATAGGTTGTTATATATATATATATGTAACAATAGGTTAGTTAATAATAGGTTAGTTATTAACAACAGGTTAGTTTATTGCAAGGTTAGTTAATAATAGGTTAGTTATTAACAATAGGTTAGTTTATTATATATATGTATTTTAGTTATTATATATGTATTTTATCATATGTTTTTACACACACGCTTCTATTATAATATTTTCTACTTATTTCTTGATTCTTTAACTTCATTCTGCGTAATTCTTAACAATTCTAATACTAAATTCAATAATAGTTTATTAAGAATATACGTATTTAATAGTTAAAATAGTAATTTTATTCCGTTGTCGAATTTCAGAAAATTTTTGTAACCGTGCGCAATACGGTTGGTAGAGTCAGTGTTTGTTGCGAAATTTTATATTTTTTTTTTTTATATTTTATAATTTTTTGAGCAAAATGGCTCTGATTTAATTAAATAATCAATCCATTCAAATTGTAATTCGCGAAGTTAGAGTCAGTGATTCCTCCGATTGTTACTTAAACGCGTGTGTTGATAGTCTTTTTTTCTTTTTTTATATTTTTTCTTATTCAACATTCGGTATCGGTATATTAGAGACAGTGCTCAAGAAGATAAGGCCTTTCCAGGAGATCGTAAGTAATTTCATATATTGTACTTCAATTTATTCATTTTTCAAATTTGACAACAAAGTATAATGTTTAACGTTTTGTTACAAACGCTTCACAATATCAACATTTTGATATATTTTGGAGAAAATCTAACAGTGACTCCTGAGCCAAGAATGTAAGAATCTTTCATTATTTCTTAAGAATTTGAAACTCTGTTTTGCTTTTGAATATAAATTCTAATATTTTGTTTTCTTACAGATTCTCTACAATCTCCAATTTCCCTTATCCTCTAAGAATCTTACGATGCTTCAAAAGTTAAGAATGTAAGTACGTTAGTACCACACTGTACTTGAATTAATTCTATTCTCTTCGGTTCTCTTTTCATTGAAGTCTGACGTAAAATTATAACTATAAAAGAAAAACATTTCAAATTATTCGAGTCCAAATTTTTATCATTAAAATTTAAATTTCCACAAATAACACTGTCTTTATGTTTTTCAAGAAGTTTTTCACGGCGTTCCACCATTCTCAGTGATATCTGCTTGATGAGGATCTTCACGACAACTTTTCTTGATCCAGTGCAGGTGATATCGTTCTTTGCGGTGAGTCGCATGCATTTTTGTTCCTCTGGTCACTCAATCATGTCGTAGGACGAAAGGTCCGAATCGGCACTGGTGACTGGTTGTATACGTAGAATTTTTTATGAGCATAGTGACCACGGGTATTGTTTTGTACCCGTGAGTAGTAACATTTCAGATTTTTTATATATTAGATCAGGATAGGACTTCTTGCACATCGCGATTTTAACAATTAGATTATATTTACCGTTATAGTAATTACTTTATAATAATTACTTGTAAAATCAAAATATCTTCAATAAAAATGTTTGCAAAAGTAAAATATTCATCTGAATATCCATAGATAAATTATTATAAATTATATCCAATTATACATAACAATATCTATCCATAGATGATTATAAATATTTATAAATAATTATTATTAAAACAATTTGAGCATTTCATAGTAGAGAAGACGGATACCCTCCGACTTCGTTGCTATGAAAGATGCAGTTATTATTTATTGATATATTGATGATATACTGATAATATACTGGTAATTTTGTTATAATAAGTAATAATTAATAATCGTTGTTATAATTAATTATTTTGAAGTTCATCTTTTTATAATAGTATTGAATGATTTAATTAATTGAATTTTATTATTATGAATTTTATAATTCAATGCAATTTGAAATATATAATAAATTAGAATTCTTTCCGTAAAAAAATGTATGAAATTTTATGTGCAAGAAAATACTTCGCGACAGGCAGATTTCTGAATCAAAGTAACAAGTTTGCACACGGCTTTTGCATTCTCGAAAATGTGCTTTGATGAAAAAATTGCCTGAGATTATTTCCATCAATATTTAGTTTAGAGTCAATTGTTTGTTTTTGATCATTTGATTTTGATTATTCAATTGTTAGATTTCTTTTGATTATTCAATTGTTAGATCTATTTTAATAAATTCAAGTCTTGTTCATTGTCTTTATTCTCTTGCAATTTCAATAATTCCTGAAAGAGTAAAGTCACAGTTACAGAACTAAAATAATAATGCAATAATAATAATACAATATTCCGTTAGATATAAATTACATAAACTAATCATTCTTTTAGTTCAGGATTTTCAGATTTAACCCCTTCCGTGTTCATTGTCAGGATCTCACTCACGTGCCCAGGTGCTACTTGGGTGGGTGAAAGACATTGAGCACGATGACCATAGTGTATAATTTTATAAAAAATTTCTCAGCGACTGACAATGTGTTAGCGTATCGTGCACGATGTATTTTCCGCATATGTGTGTGTGGTTAGGATGTGGATTTGCGTCGTTTCTATTATTTTATTCATTATAAATGTTTAAACTATTGACGCACTAAGTTGAAGTATGAATTTATTATAGTAATACTTATTAAATACACTATAATTATATTATTAATTATACTATCAGTTATAATAATGGTTCCAAGTCAACTTGCAGAGTTTCTATATAAATTATATGTATCTTTCCTTAGTTACTAATATCTCACATATAAATATAAACGTGTTTTAATCACGTTTTACGCAATGGTCGCTAGTCATTGTCAGTCGATTTCAGGAAATTGGTACGTAAATTAAAGTGTGAATGTTGAATGTTAAACTCGGGTGTCGGAGGCGTCCCGGGACGTTCTCTCTAGTTTAGGTCTGCGCCCGAGTGGTATGTGTGAGAATCGTGGAATGAGTGTGTTGGTGTGCCTGTTTTGTCATTTTTTTAAATATAGGGGCCCTGAATAGGATAGGTAGCTTACTTTCTGGTATGCCTGTGTTTAATTATAAGTAGGTAGGGCCGGGCAGGTTGGCACAGTCTCTGGTCGCGTGTTCCCTTTTCGCGTGTCCAACTTGTTTCAGGAAATCTAATTTGAAAAATCGACAGTAAAATTGGTACAAATGGAGCATGCCACTGTTTCTGGTTTTATTCTTCGATTTTTCGAATTTAGTATCGCGGTCGTGGTCGCGGATAGGTCGCGAGTAGGTCCCGAAACGAACGTTTATCTAGGTATTGCTCGAGCACGCACATGCGAACGAACAACGATCACTATGATCGATGATCGTCCATGTGTATTGGAGTTAGCTTCCGCAGTTTATCTTTTTATTTCACCTTTATATGTTATTTTTTTGGTTTGCGATTAGAAAGACTCGAGCTAGATGTAAGTTTCAGCGGGCATTGCGCTCGAAGAAAGAAGAAGCTAAATGCCGAAGAGGCCCGGCAAACTGCCACGAAGAGGGTCACAACAAATGGCTTCTCATCTTCTGGATCATTGAAATGATTCCAGAGCATGGGAGGTCATTCTCGTTACTACTTTGTCACTCATGCTCATTTAGTATTTGTAGTAGTATTTTTTTTCTCAGTCATCGTCATCGTTTTGGGCAAATCGCGGTTTTTCTTGTTAGTTGCTAAATATTGATTACGGGTTGAATTAGAGTTGCGAAATAATTTCGCGCCTGTTTATTAGTATTGCGAAAAATTGATTACGGTTTAAATTAGAATTGCGAAGAAATGATAACCGTGTTTTGTTTTGTTCATCGTAATTTTCATTAATTTTAGTGTTGCGATATTATTTCATCGCGATTTCCAGTTACTTTTACTCTTAGTGTTGCGATAATGAATGATCTCGTTTCTTGAAGTAGCGTTGCGTTAACAAAATGCCCAAATTCTTCCACTGGATTCGTGAAAGTCTGCTTCTGCTCCTGAATCACCTGATGCAGCTACAAGAGCTGTACAGAGCTGGTAGTTCATCAACAGCCTTCAGCATGGTTGCACTGGACACCTCGCTATTAGTGTTACACATTTTTAAACATGAGTGCATAGTTTAATAGCGTTTCGTAGATATTTTCGGGAGTTTTAAATATGACGAAGCACTCTTCGCGTTTAATTTTGAAAATTCCTTATTTCACAATTAATGCTAGTGAATTAGTGTTGCGAAACAAGATACAGTTTGTTCCTCGGACTTGTAACATAGATAATTGTACAATAGCCCTTCTGGCTATTCATTTGCTTTTTTTTTCAAAAATGTCGGGACTATTTTAGTGGTGTGGAATTTTTGTGTTAAGTTTTTTAAACTACTAATCCAACAAATAAGTGTGTTACAGATTTATCAATGGATCCATGCGGATGGATGAAAGATAGAATAACATGGATTGTGGAATTTAAAGGAAATGATGCCTGGATTCTGCCTAATGGTAATTAAATACATCTTATTAAATATATTTCACAAATTCTTTTGACATCAACAAAAGAAGATTGTACGTAAAATGCACTAAATACAGAAAATTCTATGAAATATCTAAAACAGAATGCTCGTTAGAAGATGACTGAAATAAATTTCTTAATTTCCATTTCTTTAATTTAACTTCTAACTCTTCAATTTACATATTTATAAATAAAACAACATTATATCTAATTATATTATTGATAAAAATGTCATAATTCGAACAATTTTTTTTCTAATACTTTTAAACGGATGTTGTAGTCGAATAGTCGAATACGTGCTAAATTTTTCATCCTAATTTTCATCAATTTTTGTATTAAATTGTTATATTCTTTCACTGATGAAGAACCATCATGTTCAATTCAATAAATAATTTTCGAAACAGATCTGGCAACGCTGTCCATATTTTTTGATTTTAATTCTCATCGCTAGTAGTGCTGTGGTGCAAAATCTGCCTGAATCGATATGACAGGATGTGACACAAAAATGGAAATGAAGTTATAATAAAAATACATTGTATGCAATGTCTATTCATATACCTCGTCTGTGATCTATTCATATATCTCATCTGCGATTAATCGCAATTATCGACTGTGTATCCTCTAATTAATTTTCGAAACTTACGTAAGATTGCGCATCTATGTAGATTTTCATTAAAAATTTTGTGCTTGCTAGTGTAAGTTATTTTACTAGAATTCATGGTTAAATAAAATAGAAGGTCTAATATAAATTAATCGTTTAATGCGGGAAACGTTACGCTAAAGTAAAAAAAGTTGGTATGTAGTCAGACATTCAAGCATCGTACACGATTCCGTTAAAAGATTAAGTTATAGAATAGTCGCTTGCAACTAATCTTCTTTATTATCTTATCTCTATCTTACTATTTTTCTTTTTAAATTTATTTTTGGTTATTAAGTCTGAACGCGCAAAATTCATGTATCCAATTCTAAGGTTAATCTTTGTTCTCGTTGCACTTCGACATGCCTCGCTGCAACAGTAACACGTGAATTTGCATTTTAAGTTGTTCTATAACGACCTACGAAGTTACATTAGCGTCAGTTGTTCCAGCAGTTTTACCGAAGTTCACTTGGTAGGTAGAAATTGATAGCAAAAAAGACGTCAGACGAAGAAGCTTGAAATTATTTCATCTTCTTGCATCCGACTCGGTTTTTGCCTTCTCCTCGGAAACAACAAACTAGAACGATAATTCAGCTACAGATGTTCGAGACTTTATGAAATTTAATATTAAGAACAAAGAAATATGGTAGCTACGTTCGCACTCACGGGCAATTGAATTGATTGTCTCCAAAGGTTTTGTAATATCATGAAAATCGTTAATAACGTTTCTGAATTGTTGATCGTTCGTCAGATTTAAAACATTTCCGTGAATTTTATTATAGAAATTTTTTTTTTTTCACTTTTATAAAGGGCCACACAATCGACTACAGAGAAAGATACGAAATTTTTAAAATTTAAAAATATCTTCTTTAAAATGAAATATCTTTTTTAATGAAACTTTTTTTTCATCATTGTCAGTATAATTTTGTTCAACGAACGTTACGAAATTCCAAAAGAATACTAGCCTGTTCTTAGTTAGAACAATCGATGGATCACATACTAACAGTAATTTGCAAGACAATTTGCACAGAACAGCGTTGTATTCCTTCGAATGAAATCCGTGTTGGTGATACTCTGATCCTACAGTCGATCCTCCTTCCACCTTTGGGTTCTGGAAGCAATGTTGCTAATTACTACATACCACCGAATGCGGCATAACCCGCGACCCATGAATTCCACTAGCCTGGCCGACGCTGTACAGTCACGGGAGTCAGTTTTCGTCCGTGTAATCCGTGGAAATTGCGGTTTCCTATGAGCGCAGAACGAACTGATAATATGCTTCTGAGTGGTGTCGGCCGGTTCGTCTTGCATTCTCCGACATTTTCCTGTTAAAATCCACGTTCGAGTATGTGCGAGCCGAAATTCATCCGATTCCATCGTGGAGCAAATTTTGTTGCCCCGCGCGGCATATTCTCCTGGTTCGACTTGCGCTTTGTTTTAGTAGTGGATAACGATTCAGGTAGCTGCATTTCCTATTTCGCGTTTATAGAATTCAATATTTAGAATTAATAAGTTGTTAAATAATTTGTGCCTTTAGGTAATTCTATTTTCTAAATAATTCTTATTATTGGTTATTCACTTTATTATACGATATACGAGGTTTGATCAAAAAATTTGCGCAATTTTCAATTTTCACCTCGTAGAAACGTCCGATTGAGAAATTATTGTTTTCTCTTGCTGGTATACTCATATTTGACCTACTTTGCAATTTTTATTCAGATTGAACGTGTAACTCAGATTTCATAGTCAATTGATCAAGTTGTAACTTGATGGATCTGATCATCTGTTATAATTTGCACCAATCTATTGTTCGAGAATTTTTAACTAAAAACAGTAACTGTAATAATTACCAGATACCGCAGCCTATGTGCCTATATTTTTTTCCCCAAGAATGAAAAAAAAAAACTATTAAAGGACAATGTGTTTTATATATTTATAATAAAAAATTACTTGAATTTTTTCATCAAGCTTATGTACTACGTACGTAGGTACGTAAATTACAAAGTCGAAATATTTAATTCGTGAATCGTAAGAAGCGATTGAAATTGATACCTACAAATTGATACACTAATTTCTTCTTCTATAGAATAACGTTTAACGAAGGATGAAAGAAGAAAGAAAGGAAAGTAACCATAGAAAGTTATATCACCGGTGCGATGTAGCAATTTGGTATTCATATTAATTCTGGTAATAACTAAAAGTTCGCGGCCGCGTTTTGAATGATCCTTCCCGGGCGAAGAATCACCACGAGTTGTCGACCAGACAATATGGAATTAATTATAATTAACTGCCATTCACAAAAGTCTCGCGAACAATTGTGCAGTCCCGCCACGGCGTTATAATGAACTTGCAGCTCCTATCATTTACATTCTCTTGTATTCGGCCCGAAGCTTCACCTAATCATAACGTTGCTTCGAGAAATGTCAAGGAACTTGTTTAAATTAATTAGTATGTTATTCGAGCGGGGATATAACTTCGTGGATTTATCTTCTTTCTTTTTTCTCTCCATCGTGGTTCAACTTCTGATGTTGTGATTTTAACCTTCATTTTGCAAGATGTATTCATAAAAGAGAATTCTTCCGATTGTTCGTGTTTTGCATGCACCAAAGCTAGAGATGTTGTTTGTTCTTCATTTGAAAAATTGGCCCGCAACATCATATTGCTCCTTTGAAATCTGAATTGCTGTTGCACAATAGCAGCGAGCTACAAATTGTTCGAGTTCTAAATGGAAATCTAAATTTGTAAACCTTTTGTTTCGCAAGTTATTGAACGAAGCAGAATTAAAGTACATTCTAATTTTACTAAGTTATTCCACTAAATTTCTTAAACTATTTATTTAAATCCAGTAGATTTAGATTTAGTAAATTATTTTATGATTTACACTCTAGCAAGTTTAATTAAATTTAGGACTCGCAGCTAGATTTACTCTAGTAAATTTTGCAGTTTCTATGAATATTTTAATAAATCCCAATAAATATAATAAATAAAAAATATAATATAATTTATTATATTATATTTTTTATTATATATAATATAGTAAATATAATATGTTATAATAAATTATATTATATTTTTTATTATATATAATATAGTAAATATAATAAATTCAGCAGACTGTACTTAATGGATAGACAGTAGTAGAGAGTAAACTGTATTCGTATTTGGACTCAAATGATTCAAAAAAATATCACGAAATATTTTCGAAAAAGATTGGCCGTTTTCGCGTACTTTCGTTTCGTCTCAGAGTGATAAGAATTGTTAATAGAAACATTAATAATCCTATTAATAATCCGGTTGGAAACTACAAGTCACTCACGCTGTGCGAGCAGAAAATCACAAATTGTTTCGACAAACGAAGCGAACAGAATGGTATTTGTATTTCGCTATACACTCATAAAATTTAGACTCCGGTTGCTTAACACTGCACACAGCCCCGAAATATGAAGGACTTCGCTAACTGACCAACAGTCCGCGTTCTAACGTGATTATCCTTGACGTTTTCCGCCGTTCATTTCTGAAATTACTGGCCAGCCATCTGGTTCGCGTATTTACGATGTTCCGGCGGTGACGTTGGTCGCGACGTTCTACTACGTTAATCACGTTCGTACGCGAAAAGAAAGAGGCGAAAGAAGGAAATTTAACATCCGTAATAGAAGCAACCCGGTACTCTTGTTCTTTCTTTGGTTTGTTACTTTTTTACTTTTTCCTTGTTTCTCGTTATCGCGGGAATTGATTATTTATGTAAGCTCGTCGTGCAATATCTTTCAGCGCTCGCGTTATTAAAATATTCCGTACACGTTTACCGGGTTTAACGTTACATAAATGAGTTTTTCTTGAACTTAACCCATCGTTGTACAGTCTCGTAAGCGAGGAGCATATTCTTTCTTGAATTTTTAGTACGACTTCTCGTAGAATTTTGCTGAACTGAATTTAATATGCGCCCGGCACAAGAATGCAATAATATCTATGAAGCGTGGTAAAAAGGATTTTCAAAGCAGTGGTACCAGATAATAAAGAAATTGAAGTTCCGTCCGAGTGTTTTTTATTAGTTTCGATAAGTGGTGTGTTGAAATTGTTAACGATGACCGGCGTGCAACCTTTGCCTCTCTGCTTTTCTCCCTTTCGCTCATTTTTCTTCGAAACTCTCAATCTTCCGCGATCAGAAAACTTCGGAATATTGTAAGGTTGAAACAAACTAGAAGCTGCAGGAAGAAACATAAACGATATTCAAGCTGAAAGAAACGGCGTTCGCCTTTTTCCTACTTATTTAAAGAAGAAAAATTACTTTTCTTGAAACAATACGTCCGACTGTTAATTACGTAAAGCCTTTCACGGGCAGGTAGGAAACGTATCCAGCAGTTTAAAGGACAGCGTGGAAAAGACGCGCAGTGCAAATATTATTTTTCAATTAATGTTTGTTGTTTTACGCTCGTCTAAGGGGCACGATAAGCGCGATTATTAGCCTGGTGGATTTTTATGCGTTTACGGGAAGTCTAAAATTGCAAAAACACACCAAGTGCGTCCGATGTGGAGAAAAATATGCAAAATACACAGAGTGTGAGATTTATTACAATCTAAACAACCTAATTGCGAACCTAATTAAACACATGAAATCGAGATAAAAATTTATTTCACTCGCCATGTATCAGGTTTTGTATATCCTCGCATTTGACGTATCTTTGCATTTCGCGTATCTTTGCAATTTTCAATTTCTTGCAAATATACATAAAATTCTAATTGATGAACTTTTGTTTATATAAAAGACGACTTATATGTTTCTTGACTAATCTCGTTGAATATCTATCCTTCCTCAATCACTTACACACGACGGTTCATACTTGCCAATTTTTACACAATTTTGTACTTTCATTACACGTCGTCGTTCTAACGATCTCATTTGTTCAGATTCGCTTTATCTTTATCTCATTTGAGCAAAGAACCTTTAACCGCGGCCTCCAGTTGTTTTCCAAGCGTTGTACAATCATTCTCGAGCCACTCTGCGAAAGGATTATGCGAATTTCCCCGATCCTTGGAATTCTCAAGCGGGGAGAGGTCGACTTTAGCTATTCTTCGAACGACTCGTTCTTCTCCTCGATTCTT